TTGAATGGTTATACCAGGATGATGCCTACAGCTGCAGGCATCAAGGCATCATCCTGGTATCGTTTTTTTCAGCCGGCGATCGGCTTTCATGTAAAAGAAATTCTAGTGGCTAATCAGCTGCAAGATTGCTTTTACAAGCAGCGAAAGACGATGCCCCCCCCTCCCCCGTGGCCTTCTTCGGCAGTCCCGTGCCATTGGGGCAACCTAAGAATGCAGCCGGTGTTCCTGCTAGCTGAACATTAAGCTGATTGGAGACCAGAATTGTGCCAATCATCTCTGTAGCCTAAGAAATCGGAAGCTACGAGCATTTCATCACTTCAGTTTCACAGGATATAAACAGCGCCATTTGTAAATTGGGAAAGCATCTGATCACACCGATCTTGGTTTGATTAGATAACACTGTTCAACAAATTTTTATTTTTTGCCAGTTTTGGAAACAAAAGGATCCATTTCTTAATGAATTTCACATTCTGAGTTCAAATATAACAATGAAATTTGTCAATTGGCTCTAGTTTTTCTGTAAACAGAAAGTTTTCTACTATAGGCGTAATGACTACATAATGCACAATAATTATATACATAGATGTCTTTCCACAAATATAAAGCAAGTGATATTGACTACATAACAAAGCCTAAATGGCATAATATATTGCATAGGATTACCAAGAAAAATTATAGCCATAAGCTAAGTTGAATCATTTTAATACTTAGGATTCTCACTAGTTTTGTCTTCAGTTTGTGTCGGTTTTGCTTCTCTTGGCTTTTCTCTTGTATTCGAGGAAAGGGCTATCTCTTACAACTGCACGTGACTACACGCTTCAGGTTCTTCCTCACTTGACTCAACCACGAAGGATTCTGGTGCTTTAGGAATTGGTAGCCCCTCTCCATGAGGAACTGGACGTATTGCCGATGGAATATTTGGATAGTGCACAGATAACTTTTTCTTCTTATTTAGCCCTTTTACAATTGGAGGCACCATACAAAAGTAACAATTACTAACATGATCTGTTGGCTCTCTCCAAATCATTGGCACAGCGAAAGGCATAGATGCCTTTTTTCCATTCAACCATTGCTCCAGTGCCGTCCCACAAGAATTGCAGCATATATGTGGTGCCCAGCTCTTGTCCTGGTCTCCTATCTTGCAGCCAAAATACAAGTTGTAGGCTTTCTTAATCATTCCTGTTATCCTCCTTTTTTGTGAGATAAAAGTTATTTCACCGCAGATATAGCAGAAATTATCTGCTTTATTCACACAAGTTCGAGGCATTACTGAGTAGCCTATATAAGCATAAACGAAATGTAAAGACGAACTACAATCAGCTACAGATACTGCAGCTTTTATGCAGTGAAGTGATGCAATTAAAGGCTAATATTGCATCATCTCAGTATACATGCAATTTTCTATTGGTCACCAGTATCAATTGCGCAATATGCAGCTGAAGTTGCATCATAATTTTGAATGGCTTACGTCATTAGATGGGTGAATATATCATGGAAACTAGAGCCAACCAACATTTTTTAGGGTCATTTTCATTTTCAGCACCCCAAAATTATGTAAGATTAGCTAATTTTATGGCCAAAACTTTTTACCTGTTGAACAGTGTAATGTAAGGGTAGAGGAGATATATATAGAGTCTGATAGACCCCAGATTTCTCAAAAAAGAATGTATGACAATACCCATTGAAGTTATAGGGGATATTTGCATTCCCTGTGATAGCATTAAAAGTGATAAAAAAAAGGGGGGGGGGGGGGGGGACGACAGTGTAAAAATAATAAAAAAAATATCAAAATAACTTTAAAAAAAAAAGTACCCTCGCCCCCCTGCGCACACGTGCATCTGCGTTCGTGAGCATTGACCCTGTTCCAGTATGGAAACAGTGGTTGCACCATGCATGTGAGGTATCGTCACGAACGTCAGATCAAGGGCAGTAATTGTAACACTAGACCTCTGTAAATCTAAAATGGTAGCTTGTAAAGGCTTTTAAAATGTTGCCTATGGATTGGATATTAAAAACATAAGCAGTTTGTCGCCATTGCACGGGGCATGCGCAGTTTTAAAGCATATTATGTTTGGTATCTATCTATTCGGCATACCATCATCTTTTATATTTTACCAAATAATTGGCCAATATTTAGTGTTTTTGTGCATTAAAAGTAAAAAAAAGTGTATTTAAAAAAAAAAATTTTGTTTGAAAAATTGCTGCACGAGTACTATGTGACATAAAAAATTTGCAGCACCCACCATTTTATTCAATAGGGTGTTTGCTTTAGAAACATATATGATGTTTGGGGTTTAAATTAATTTCCTAGCAAAAAATACAGATTTTTTTTTCATGTGAACAAATGTCAAAAAAGGCTTGGTCTTCAGGTGGTTAGAAGAGTGAGTGATGTGTGGCATAAACTTCTAATGCTGGACATAAAATGCCCCTTACCACCAAAACGACCCCTTTTTGGAAAGTAGATACCCCAAACTATTTGCTGAGAGGCATGTTGAATCAATAGAAGAATTTATTTTTTTACCACAAATTTTTGGAAAATGACAAACAATTTTTTTTTTTATTTACATAAAATTGTCGCTTAAATGATTTATTGCTCACACATGCCATGGGTATATGTGGAATTGCTCCCCAAAATACATTCTGCTACTTCTCCCGAATATGGGGGTACCACATGTGAGAGACGTTTTGGTAGTCTAGCCAAGTACAGGACCCCAAAATCCAATAAGCACCATCAGGCTTTTAAAGGGCTTTATTTCCTCATTACACTTTGTGACTACCTATCACAGTTCCGGAGGCCCTGAAATGCCAGGATAGCACCAAACCCCCCCCCCTCCCCCAAATGCTTTGGAAAGCAGACACCCCGAGGAATTTGATCAGAAGCATGGTGAGTATTTTGCAGATCTCGTTTGTTGCCACAAGTTTTTGGAAAATGAAGAAAAAAAAAAAAAAAACGATTTTTTTTTTTATATTTCAAAACCTTGTGAGAAAAAATGAGATCTGCAAAATATTCACCATGCCTTTTTTTACATTCCTTGGGGTGTCTACTTTCCAAAAAATGGGTCATTTGGGGGGGTTTGGTGCTATCCTGGCATTTCAGGGCCACCGAAACTGTGATAGGTAGTGAGGCAGTGAAATGAGGAAGTTGTGCACCTTCAGGCTTTCAAAGTGGTCATTGGATTTCAGGCTCCTGTATGTTGCTAGGCTCCCAAAAAGTCTCACACGTGGTATTCCCATACTTGGTAGAAGTAGCAGAATGTATTTTGGGGTGTAATTCCACATATACCCATGGCTTGTGTGAGAAATATGTAATTTAAATGACAACTTTGTGTAAAAAAAAAGTTTTTGTCATTTTCCAGAAACTTGTGGAAAACAAATTTTATCTTCCATGGACTCAATATGCCTCTCAGCAGATAGCTTAGGGTGTCTACTTTCCGGGAAGGGGTCATTGGGGGGTGTTTGTACTATCCTGGTATTTTAGCACCTCAAGAAATGTGATGGGCAGTCAGAAAGTAAAAGCTGTGTAAATTTCATTATCTATACCATAGTTTGTAGATGCTATAACGTTCACACAAAGCAATCAATACATACTTTTTGGATTTTTTTTTAACCAAAAACATGTAGCAGAATACATTTTGGCCTAAATTATAACTAACTTTGAGTTTACTATATATTTTTTATAGCCGAAAGTTTCTTCAAAATATTTGGTCTTTTTTTGTTTATAGCATGAAAAATAAAAAGCGCACAGGTGATCAATACCACCAAAAGAAAGCTCTATTTGTGTGAAAAAAAGGACGTAAATTTCGTTTGGGTGCAGTATTGCATGACCGCGCAATTATCAGTTGAATTAGTGCAGCGCTGAGTAGCAAAAAGAGGCCTGGTCATTAAGGGGGGTAAATCCTCTGGAGGGCAAGTGGTTAAAAGTCCTTCTGCTGAACTAGACAGTTTTTGTATTTCCTCCAGCCCCAGTAGATGCATTACCTGGAACCTGTTTGAGGGAGGCCTCTGTTTCTCTGGCTTTCATTTTCTTCCACCCACCCCTTTACCTACTTAGCTCTCAAGGGAGCAGCTGGTAGTATACTCTGCCAGATTGTCCAGGAACTCTTTCCTGGTACGAGAAGGAGGTTGCTTGTTTTTTTTCTTCTTCTTTGGCTGGTGATGGCCATGTCTGGAAGCGCCACATCCCATTGACAGGGACCAGCATTGGCAGCTTAGGTTCCCAGTCTAGGTACTGCACTAAAAAAAGGGTGTAATGAGGTTCCAGGAGATATGTGGATAACCACAGCATGGGCAGCTCCAACAACTCATCCGACCAACAATGAGACATGGACACAAAACAACAAATAAAAGAGCGCTCCCAACCCTGTAGAAGTCAATAGGACAAGCCCAGGAAAAGATAAAATCGAAATTCACTTTAATGTTGGGTTAAAAAACATGACATGTTGGAGTGCCTAGATTGATACATCACCAAGCCAGTTGAGAGAAAGAAAAATATATTCCCAGATGCTGGAGAATGACATGATCCTGGATCCAACAGTAGCTTTCTCAGCCCAGGAGCCTTAGGACAATGGGAGGAGTGTGTGGATTGCAGCTGCCGGGATCACTATGATGGTGAGTCCACCAGACGTCACAAGGCCCGGATGCAGTTATAATATACAGCTGGCAAGAGACCTCCCAAACAATGATTGGTGATGGCAAACTGGGAGCCTAGGGGAGCTCTCATGATCTGAGGGAAGGGGCAAGTCCATGAAACATGTTATCATGATGACCGGCTTCTCCCCTTTGGTTTTACATGGTTTGAGTGCTCTTAATCCTAATACATATGTTATGTAATAAAAAAAATGCAGTATATAAATGTTGTTAAAGGATTACTTTTTGTCTCTGTTCGTGTGGTCTGTATTTATGTCTGGCATTAAGCTGAGCACCAAAAATTGTGCCCTATATTAAAAACCTAGTATCTGTTTAATTTTCAGTTTTTCAGATTTTCTTTTTTGTTCTTGCAGTAGCAGCAACAATATATCAGAAGCAAAGCTAAAGAAGAAAAGGTATGTTACTTAGTTAAGACCTTTGTGTGATTATGACTTTGTTAAATTCCAAAGAGACCTTAATAATCTACAAGAGAACATTACTACCGGCTTAACAAAATCAGAATTATTTCAGATAAATGTTGGAAGGGCATAGTTCGGGCCCATTCACACCAGTAATGTCTGTTTCAATGTGTTTACAACATGCACATTTCATTGCACTTTATAGAGTAACTTCACTCCCCCAAAAAATCCTAACACTGGTCCCTGTCTCAAAATAAGAAAAACATTCATACTAGACAATAGAGTCTAGCATTAGCATTATCTTAGTTGAAGCAGAGTTTTGCCCTTCATCCATCTTTATCCCTCTACTCCAGCATCGCCATCTGTACTGAAGATCTGGTGCATGCACAGTAACATCGTAAGTGTCTGCCAGGTCTATGGGACCTGGAAGAGATACCACAGTGTGTCTGTGCATGCTCCAGATCCAGCGCCCATACACAGACATTCTGCAGGTCTCTGTCACTACTGTTGTAATAACCCCTGTGGTGTGTCTGCACATACGTGACATCTTGAAAACTGCTCCTGGGATGTCACACATTCTAGGAGGCAGTTTTCAACCTGTTGTGCATGCACAGAAACTCTGCTTGGTTCTGTGACATTAACCTGGCCTACGCCAGGATTTAGGAAGTAAAAGCAAAAATAAAGAAAACAACATATTTTTTATTTATTTTGCTAAAATTCATAAGAGGGAGGTGGAGGCAGGAGAGAGGACTTTACAAAGATTAATAAAGTTCCTCTTTAAAGTGTGTTGCATTAACGCAGCAAATTAATTTGAATGGAATGCCTAACCCACCACCACAAACCAAAAATCAGACCTTCTGCATATTTGCTAGCATTGCTCACCACAACACATTATTGTGAATTGGGGTGCCATTCACAATGAATGTCAGTGCACCAAACTTGTAACTTCACTAAGAATGGTCCCTTAAACTCAGGCCAATGTGTAGTAAAGTTCCTACGTTGTAGGCAGTGGTTCATTGCAGACAGTGTTTAGACAATGCCTGAAAAGCATCTTTTCAATTTCATGAATTGCAAAAGACAGCACTTCTGTCTAAAGTAAACAGTGCTTGTTGTCATAGGATGCCTTCTCCTGTGTGAAATCGCAGTCTCCTAGTTGCTGGACATAGTTTGGCGTGTGTAAAATAAATAAATAAACAAATGTGTATACTCAGCTCCATACTGCAGTATCACTGTGATGCTGCAGCCGTCCCCTGCCACCTCTCAGTCTGAGAACTGAGCAATCACATGACCACTGATCACTCAGGTCAGGACTCAGTCAATTGTCAGTCACCACTCTCTGCTTTGCTTCTCCAGAGATCACTGGAGCACAGATCAGGAGAGGGGATGGGTGCTGCTGTCTTCAGCTCTCAGCCAAGCACTAAGAACCAGCTATCAATCAAGTATCTGGATGGATCCCGACAGTATGTTCGGGATCCTTCCAGAGCCTGGAGTGGCTCTGTGACTTCAACCAACAGTGATAAAGGATAAGTTCACCTTCAGGAACATGTTATATGTTCCACCCGTTTTTACCTGTGCATTTATTTATTTGTTTATTTTTAAGGGTGAACCAATCCTTTAACAGAGTGGACACTGGATCTTAAGTTGGCTGCTCAGCATGAGCTTGTACTGAGCACCCAAGTGCTTCCGTGTACGAGGGTAACCTAAAGGAATACATTTTTTTTTTTCCACATAGGGGCTTTTACTCGCTCAGCAGATGCACTTCTGCTGAGCGTTAAGATAGCCCAACAATCACCTTTCTTGATGAACACCCAATTGGTGTTCATCACATTGCAAGGTCTCTCCTGTCCCTGCTAGTCCCAGGGTGTGGTGCTGGGAGATCGGCAGGGAGGTGAGGAGGACAGAAATGGTGCAATGTTAAAAGATTAAAAATGTTATTTGTTATAAAGCCCCTTTCATTTTTAAAAGCCCCCAGACATTCCTAACAGCACCTCAGATTTAAATACACTTTGGTTAAAAGTAAATATTTTTTTATCAGGACAAGTAGATTGTCATGAGGGACAAGTGGATTGGAACCCCGATTTAGTCCCTTGGACAAGTAGTTTTTTCAAAAATGTCCACACCCCTGTAAGCTTTTATATAAAATATAAATATGTATGTGTATTATATTTTATATATATTACAAAGTTTTTGGTGTCAAACGTCCTCATGTAGAATCAGTTCTTTGAGTGCTGGTCCTTTGGAATTCGCATGCAATGGCAAAACTGATGTCTATGGTTAAAATGTATGTTTAGCTAAAAAAAAATTTCAGGATATAGTAGAGAAGGAATTCAACTATAGGAATGCGTTCAAGACACAAAAACTCTAAAAAACTGTGCATACATCCATATAAAATCAAACAAAACATTTCAAAAAAATATATAATAAAATAATCAAGTGTTCAAATTAATATGTAAAAGTCCAAAGTCCCAAAAAATTTAAATTTGAAACCACCAAGTGCAATCCACCACCAAATAAGATTGGGTGACTCACCAGAGCTATATGCTGATCAATTCACAGACCAGCAACCACGCTATTGCTCTGGGAGCGATCAATCTTCAAAATTCCAAATATAAGGTGCAATGTTCTGCAATATTGACTTTTTTTTAGGATGAAAGTAACCGCCACTTTATATTATAGATTGGTTCCAGATAATTTGGTGGTGGATTGCACTTGGTGGTTTCAAATTTAAATATTTTGGGACTTTAGACTTTTACATATTAATTTGAACACTTGATTTATTTATTACCGGTATATATATTTTTTTAAATGTTTTGTTTGATTTTATATTGATGTATGCACAGTTTTTTGGAGTTTTTGTGTCTTGAGCGCATTCCTATAGTTGAATTCATTTTGACCAAGATGTTATAACATTTTTGGGTTGGAGTTGCTGCTGTATTAATTAAGGGTGTGGCGCTTTTCTAAACAACATTCTATAGTAGAGAAGGGATTTGTCACTTCTGTGTACCACTGGGGAAATATCCCTTTACTTCCTGTCCCAGAAACACAAGACGTTAGAGGAAATCTCCTAAAGTGAGCGGAATTACTTTTTTGGACAGTTGTTTCTGGAACAGGCGTTCCCATGGGAGTCAGTGCATTTGTAGTCTATTGACACTTTCTCTGGCTTTCTAATTGAAAGCCTGTACAGAGGTGCAGGCAGAGAGCTGTGGGAAGTGTCTGCAAGATCCTGACATTGTACTCACGATCCACTGATCGTGAGTGCAATGCTTTGCAAGCTCCTGTAGAAAAAAAATGCACATTTTTTTTCCCTAGTAAAATATGTGCATTTTATTATTATTTTTCTTAAAGGTGTGCTTTAAATGTAGATATCTGCTAAAGAAAATGCCTTATTGAATTTCTTTTTCCCCTTTTTTCAGGCCTAAAAGTGTAACAAGCTCCAGTAGTGAAAGCTCAAGCAGCAACAGCTCAGACAGTGACCCCTCCTCAGACAGTGAGGATACCTCCAGCTCTTCTTCATCCTCCGAGGACAGCTCTTCCAGTTCCTCCTCTTCATCAGAGGACAGCTTCTCCGAGTCTGAGTCAGAGTCTGAATCAGAGTCAGAAACTAGCAGTAGCAGTGATACAAGCTCCAGTAGCAGCAGTGAAGAAGACAGTAGCTCAGATGAGGAGCCACTTAGGAAGAAAAGAAAGCGTTAGATGACAAAGCAGTTGTCTCAAAGGTTTTTCAAGACATCCACATTGGAATAACTTCATTCTTGGAATCTATACTTTAAAGAAATACCGTTTTAATGACGAACTTGTTGTCCTACCCTGTACAAGTTTTCAATCCTTAGATTTTGGTACTGAATGTTTATTTCAAACTAGAAATACTGCTACATCCGTTTCTATTTTTTCCTGTATTTTACTCTCTAGAAGTAATAGTGACAGTCTGTTTCCCAGTTTCCCTTTGAAAGACCAAATATTTAACTTTCAAAACAACACTCAGACATAATATTCTTTGCACTCCATTTGCATGAAGGGTAACATAAAGAGGTTTTCCAATTTAATCCAAAAATGCTTTCAGCTAATACATGTGGCACCATATAGGTCTTACAACTATAATTTGCCAAACGTGTGCCACCTGTGGGTCAGAATGTCATTCTGGGTTGCACAATTGGTTTTTGGTACCCCAGATGAATAAATATGATTCTCATTCTTTTGTGCCCTGTCAGGAATTCCTTTTTTTTTTTTTTTTTAACCAGAGACCTGTATGCCAGTCCAATTGCAAACCGCTTAAATTGTGCCAGTTTAAAAAGGACTGAGAACTTTGATTTCCATTATTATAACACTGCAGAAAGCTATGTTTGTAACCAAATGCTGCCAGATATAGACAACCCTCACTTCTCATTTGGCTTTGTAAAGTTGGGCCAACAAGCATGTCTAATCATCAGAAAGACCGATTCACAGTGGAATATCTCTGTGATTGTTAATCATTCCCTTTTCTATGGAGCATCAATCAGTCAAATTGGGATAAAAAGCTTCTCTTTAGTTGTGATAGTGTAGGAATCATTCAAGGACAAGTAGACATCCATCCTCTCTAATTCTCAGTGAGACATCTTCTGGTCTTTGGCTATTTTTTTAGTTATCCAAAAAAGAAATCTTGTGTTTATATATCAGTGTTGTTGTTAAAGCCCAATTCCATATTTTGTAAAAAAAAAAAAAAAAAATCAGACAACCCAACCTCTTTTTTTTTTTTTTGTGGGAGAAGGGGGTACAAAATGGAAATTGTGAGCCCTGAGTTTGGCTTTAAGGAGGTTTTGCATCCAAGTATAGATTAAGTTGGAAAACCACTTTCAAGTATGCCTGAGAGCAGAATCTGTATGGTGTTATTTTATTCATACTATCTAGTGTTTATTACACAATGTAAAGAGACCAAAAAGGCAAAAAGGGAGAGCTGAAAACCTCTGTTACCCTCATGGCCTAAATGTGAGCTTTTTTTTCCTTTTTTCTCTTTTTTTTTTTTTTTTAACTTCACAGTGCTTTTTGTGCTTTTTGAGCAGTTTCTTGCGTATCACACTTGCTTGGACAAAGTACTTGGGAGCATACAGACAATCTGAATTCAGTTTGATTTGTTTGTACATTTGCTCCCAAGTCAAATTTCTTTCTGTAGCACAGTGCAATGTGCTAGAAACTTGCCTGGGATATCAGGGGGTAGAAGAGAAACCATATTTAGGTCTTCTACACAGTTCAATAGGCATTATGTAGTTAGCGTGTGTTCATTTTATCGTATCCATAGATTAACAGTGCACAGATAAAGTGTAAAAGGTTTGCTCTCAAAGCTAATGAGTTCTTTAACACAGCTTTGAGAGTTATTTTTATAGAGGAGTATATATAACGGAGGATTTATCTGAATAAACATTGGGTGATATCAGGGTGTATTAATAACGGAGTGGCCTATAGTGTTCTATTTTTATGACAAAAGAGAAAAGAGTGATATGCCCTGTACTTTTAACTATTATAATTTTTTTTTTTGGGGGGGGGGGGGTGTCTGTGATTATAGAAATACAGGGACTGCCATTGTAGATCTCCTCCTTAAATGCTAGTGGCTTGCCTGTCATGGTAATTCTTTGGCTTCAATTTGGTTTCAGTCACTGATGTATGCAGATTAGTTGTTCTGAGTTCACTTGCTGTTTGTTTTTTTCTGGAAGCCTGAATTCAAAAAGCACTAAGGCCAAAGACAGTTGGTAACTAGCAATTTTAGAGTGAATGCAGCAACCACGGCTCTTGTATTTCTGTGATGATCTGTTTTCCTTTAAACTTTTACTTGCAATTAATCAAATTGCAAAAATGAATTGTATAACAAAAAAGTGCCATGTCTGTAAATAAGAAAGTTTGTGACATCACTGTTGCAGGCTTGTCCAGCACAATGAAGATTAATGTCACATCAATTTTTTGGTTAATAAATGTATGATGTTTTGCTATTTTATTATTTGTTTCTTTTAAGCTGTTTGGAGATATAAGCTGCCATTGGACTGTTCATAAATATTCTCAATACCTTTAAAAAAAAAAAAAAAAAAAAAGTTCTGTAAAAGTAGAATTACAGCCTCTCTGTAAAAAAATGTGTTGCAGTTAATTGCATCTGCACTTTCGATTTTCTCTTAGTTCCCCCTGCAAAGTTTCACAAGTACCTGTTGAGCCTGACAGTAAAATCCGCCTAATGCAGCTTGTGATGGTGTGGCAACAATGCTGAATTGTTTGAGTTCAGAGCAGAATTGCCACTCTCATGTAGGCTGTATTTGCTTGTACTATGGTGGGATGAAAAAATGGGGGCATAGCTATCAGCATTGTCACTGCTTGCCACACTATCTGGATTTCCAGCACTGCCTTTGTTGCTGAAAACCCTCCCACTGTACCCTGCAGTGTCCACGAGGAAGAGCAGGTTTAACAGAAATGAAGAAGGATTTGTCTCAGAGGTAAAGGAAGTGTTTTTTTTTCATGGTAACTGGACTTGGTAGTTTAGACTGCCTATTAATTGTACCATACTTTAAAGTGTTTGTAAACCATCTTCTTTTTTGTTTTTTAAACATACATGCCATTCTTACCTGCTCTGTGCAATGATGTTGAACAGAGCAGCCCCGATCCTTCTCTTTTGGGGTGCCCCACTGAAGCTCCTTGCTCAAACTCTTCAGGGAATGCTCCATAGGAAGCCACTTCCTATGGGGGCACTCATGCAGGCTCAATCCTGAGGTGTACTGCCTGCGTCTATAGACACAAATAACGTGAATCGGCACTGCCCCCGCTCATTTACAGTTTTTATTGACAGCAGCAAGAGCCAATGGCTCCTGCCTTTAGAAACCACTTTAATAAAAGTTACTTATTCATCTTATGATATAGTGGTAACAATGCTGCGCTGTTCCTGAATTCAGAGCAGAGTTGCCAATCAACACCTGGTCACATCTAACCCTCCAACTGCATTCTGGATTAGCAGCACTCGCGCTTCTGCTGCTGAAACCCTCTTTCTAAAAGCTGCAGTGTATGGGAGAGGGGAGCATGTGAAACACTATGAAAAATGAAAAAATGTGAAGCATGTGAAACACTATGAAAAAAGTATAAAAATATACTATTTTATAACTCCCAATCAGCTGCTGCACTTGCAGGGCTCTAATGAGGAAACTGGCAGCATCTGCATTCCTTTAGACGTGATTGCCCACAGGTAGTATCTTACCAAAAATGACATTTTTGTTGCAGGGGATGCCAAAAATCTGACCTGTATCTTAGTGCAGACTTCTGAGAAAATCAGTATGTCAATCGCTAAAGCAGGAAATTACATTTACAGGGATCTTTCTGTACAACATCTGTGTACAGAACACTGTCAGGTAGCCATATTGCAAATTACAGCGCTGCAGATTGAAAAGGAAAGGTAATTTTTAATATTCAATTACAATATAAATTGAGTCGCAATTGTAAATGCTATATTTTTTTTTTTTTTATTTGCTATTATTTTTTCTCACAAAAGTGGAGGTACCCTTTAAATAATGGCCACAGTTTTTAAATTACCTTTGTTCACCCTTTTAAAAGACAAAAAAAAAAAAAACCTTTGTTGCTTCTCAGTGCTTATAATCCCCTGCAAACACTTCCTGTCTAAATGCATGACATTTCTCAGGGTGACTTTCATGATGATGACAACAGTTAAACATTACCACTTATATCTCTTTTGGAAGCCTAATGCAGGCCATAGACGGGTCGTTTATCTGCCGAATTTTCATCCGCACGAAAAATCAGCTGATATTTAAGCCATTGGTGGGGCCAGCACTTCGGCCGTTTTTTGCGGATCTTCTCATTTATTTTTATCGGTCATGCTGGAAAATCCACGAAAAACGGCCGTTTTTCGTGGACATTGGTGGCAGCAACGGCACAGACAGATTTTTGTTTATCGGCTGATAAACGGCCCATTTGTGCCCTGCATAAGTGACAGGGTTACAATGCAGGATTCACAATATTCCCATCACACGCGTTCCTGGAATGGGCTGGAAGATAAGTGAGTGCTGCAGCAACAACCAGCTGTGACCTGGTAACATCAATATACACATCAGCCAGGACACCATGAATCCTTTAGTATCAGCAAAACACTTTTATTCAAAGCATCACAAACATCACAGAAAGTGAGTGCATTGTTTTGGGGCCATGTAGGACCCCTTCATCAGGCATGTGATGACCCTGTCCTGCATGGCCCTGAAATGTTCCACATTCTTACTGTGATGTGATCTCTTTGAATAAAAGCGTTTAGACATTACTAAAGGACACACAGTGTGCTGGCACATACAGTGGGGATCGAAAGTCTGGGCACCCCAGCTAAAAATTTGTATTAATGTGCATAAAGAAGCCAAGGAAAGATGGAAAAATCTCCAAAAGGCATCAAATTACAGATTAGACATTCTTATAATATGTTAACAAAAGTTAGATTTTATTTCCATCATTTACACTTTCAAAATAACAGAAAACAAAAAAATGGCGTCTGCAAAAGTTTGGGCACCCTGCAGAGTTAATATCTTGTACTGCCCCCTTTGGCAAGTATCACAGCTTGTAAACGCTTTTTGTAGCCAGCCAAGAGTCTTTCAATTCTTGTTTGATGTATCTTTGCCAATTTTCCTTACAAAAGTCTTCCAGTTCTTTGAGATTTCTGGGCTGTCTGTCACGCACTGCTCTTTTAAGGTCTA